GAGCTCTGCCCTCCAAGTTCATGCCTTCCTTGGGTACTCTACCTCAGCTTTAGGGTATTTGTCAGAGTTCTCTTAGTAAATAATTAAGTATTATTTATATTGAACCATCCACTATGCAAATTTTATTGTGTAATATTTTTTCCTGAATGGACCGTGACAGAACACCTTTTTTTGTCATAATAATATAGAGATATTCTATGTTAACACAACATGTGTGTATACACCTCTTTAGTCATTCACATACATGGTGATATTCTGTGCAGTGGTGGCTTTTTGAACTCAGCCACCACTGAATATCAGCCCATGTAGATTCATTTCATTATAAACAGTTGCCTAGTATTCCATATTCTAGAGAGATGCCATATTTATCTAGCCAGGTTCCTATTAGTGGGGAATTAAATTGTTTCCAGTCTTATCTCTCCACAAATACTATAGTATTATTCGTATTCGGTTGGCCCATGTGCCCATGTGCCCATGTGCAAGCATATCCAATCAGAAAACTCACATCCTGGAAAAGGTTCTACCTTCTTAAATTCCCTCCAAACTGTCTGCAGGCCTCGTGCTGCCACCATACTGTAGGAGTTCTTCATTTTAAAAAGTAGCTTTTTTTATTAATTAGAATTAAGAAATTTTGCATACATTTTAGTTGCTCAGAGAACGTTTAAAATCAGTGAGAAACATATCCTCTGGAAGACTGAGACGGGCATGCCCATGCAAATATATACACACAGACACTTTCTCGGTACGTTCCCAGAATATGAATTTCTTCTTGAGAATTTGTTATGCCCTTTTAAAAGTTAATAACGTTTCCTCATACTTGTGACAAGTTGGTCACTAAAGTAACAGCATAAAAACCTATGAAAGTATTTTAGTACATTCTGAATTACTCCTAAATATAACTTAGTCCAGCATTTTAGTCTTGCAGGAGTTAAATGACCATGTCAGATGCTACTCTCTGACATTTCCACTCCTTTTTTGAGTGTGTCTGTTTTCTTAATCACCAAAACATCTTTCACTTTTTCCTTCCTTATTCTCTATTCAGAAGACCTGAGTTCTGTTCTTATTATTATCCTTCCCCCTTTAAAAAATTTTCAAGTACACTTGACTTTCAGTGCTGTGTTAGTTTCAGGTACACAATCCAGTGCTTAAACATTTATATAACTTCCCAAGTGATCCTCTTGATAAGTCCAGCACCTACCTGGCACCATAGACAACTATTACAATATTACTGACTCTATTCCCTATGCCATACTTTACATTCACGTGACTCTTCTGTAACTGCCAATTTGTACTTCTAAATTCTGTCACATCTTTCACCCAGCCCCCAAACCCCTCTCTGATCTCCCTCCCTTGTTTGCCAGTGTGTTTTCTCTTTTATTGGATTTATTGGGGTGACACCGATTAACAGGTTTCAGGTGCTCAGTTCTACAACTCATCAACTGTACACCGTATCCTGTCTTCATTACCCCAAGGTAAGTTTCTGTCCATCACCATTTATCCCCCCCTTTAACCTTTTCCACTTTCCCCCAGCAATCACCACATTGTTGTCCATATCCATAAGTTTTTTCTTCTTGTTTTTTTTTTTGACCGATCCCTCCATCCCTTTTTTTGAAGTGAGCTATATTGAGATAAAATTTCTGTACAGTGAAATTCACACTTTGAAGGTACAATGTTGGCAAATATATACTGGTGTGTAAACACTACCACAACAAAAATACTGTACAAAGTATTTCCATCACTCCAGAAAGTTCTTTGTGGTCAGCTCTTTCTCCCACCAACCTCTGGTAATCACTGATCTGATTTCTAAAACAATAGCTTTGTTGTTTCATAATGTCATGTCAATGTACATGTAGTCTGCTTCTCACTTAACATAAAGCTTTTGAGATTCACTGATGTTGTTGTATCAATAGTTTCTTCTGTTTTCATTACAAAGCATCTCATTTATTATTTATTTACCAGTCGATGCTTCCAAATTTTGGTGATTATAAACATTTCTGTAAAAGTCTTTGTGTGGACTTATGTTTTTGTTTTTCTTTCTTTAATTTAATCTTTATTGTATTTTTTGCGTTACCATTTAGTCCCCTTATACCTCTCTCCCCCCAGTGATCACCACACTGTTGTCCATGAGTCCTTTTTTCTATTTTCTCAATCCCTCCACAAGTAAATAAATAAGAGTGGGATTGCTGGATTGTATGGTATGTTTATGTTTAGCTTTGTAAAAGGCTGCCAAACTGTTTTCCAAAGGAACTGTACCATTTTGCATTCCTACCAGCAACAAAGGAGAATTTCTGTTGCTCTGCATCCTCACCAGAATTCAGCTGTCTTTATATATAACAGAATTATTGCAGTTGTCTCTGGATTCATTTAGTTCCAAACCTTTCAAACTCCAATCAATCATTCAAACTGAAACCATATGAGACTTAAAATCCTATCCATTCTTAAATGGCTCCAACTTCCTCAGGATAAAGTCCAAACTCTTTAGCTTGACATACACAGGACCTTCCGAGCTGAGGTCCCTCCTCACCTCCCCTCCCAACCACGTCCCCTGTGTCCCACTCAGATGGACACAAACAAGCTGACTGGTCCCAAGCAGCAGAGTGGCCACTATTCCCTAACTCTGTGCTTCTGTGCAGCCCAATGCAGAGCATCGTGGGGGCAAGAAATGGGTGTCCTTTGCCACCCTGCTAGGTAGTAATTGTTCAAAAACATGTTTAGAGAATAAGTGATGGAATGCAGCTCCTTAGTCCTTCACTGTGAAGAGCTGGAGTAAATAAAAGGATTCTGGCTGGCTTGGAGTCAGGGGGATGGGAGTAAAAGGCAGATAAGACAAGGGCCTGAGAGGCTATTCCAAATATAAAGTATTGCTTGAGGAGCTTTGACTATGAATACATTCACATTCACTCTCCTTCCACTCTCTCCATAGGCAAAACACTAGATGTTTACCATTAGTTGGAGATGAACCTAAAGTCTAGCAGCACTATAAACATTTTGGACCAGATAATTTTGGGCTACAGAAAGGATTATAAACACAAGAATCAAGGATACTGCATCCCAATGGTCCGTTTCTGTTTATACAGCTGTTCTACTGATGCTTTTTAAATGTGTTTTCAAGGAAATATGCACTCCCAGTGGGTGCCTTGATTGAACCGTGACCAACACTTTATGCCCACGGTCAGTGGAGGAAATCACAATTCACCCACTGAACTCCCTGGGTGAAATTGCTCTCTAAATACCACTTTTTGCTGCATTCAAACTTTTACCTTCATGGCAAACTTTTTGATAAGCTTCTTTCAGGTATTTCTTTTTTTTTTTCCCATTTCCCATCACCTGTGAGATGAATTTCAGGGTCATATATTAACTCTGATTTCAAAGTGACTCAAAGACTGCACACCAAGACTATTTTAGGTGGAGTGTTTCCTCCTGAGTCAACCTTGTCCCCTGGTAGCAGGCATCCTGCGGATTTCCTCAGCTCTGCTGTTGGGAATGGGAGGCTGAGGGCAAGAGCAGCCAGTAAGTACAGAAACCCAGTGACTCTTCCTGGTTCCTGGAGGAGTAGCAAGAAAACCCTGATTTAGTAAGAATTCTTTGGCAAGAAAACTAGGAGCTTACTGGAGACAAATGGTTTGGGGAATGCTTTTTATGAGTACAAGTATTTTTTTCAGGAGGCAGATTTAAAAAGAGTTTTCTTAGGAATAAAATTAAGCAACATTTTTAGTTGTCCAGGACTACTTCATTAAATGTTTTTGTAAATGAGATAACCAAAGACAAGGAAATTGCTCAGTTCCACTTTTCACAATTTTATCAAGTTTTCCAGCTTGTCACCTCCTCTTTGTTCTCTTTTGTCATGCTAACAGTCTATAATGCCTTCATCATAGTGTCATGTGGGAAAAATTTTTGTTTGTTTTTTTAACATATGTGAAAGCTTCTAGCACAATGCATAGCAGAAAGGTGTCAATTTATCGTAATGTCAGGTCTTCCAATCTACCTGTGACATAAAAACATCACCACAGGGCTTTGCCCCAGACTGGGGAGTATTAGCCACACGTTGCCCTTCCCTGAGCCCACCCTCACAGTAGACTTCAGTAATCTATCTCAATAGAAGACCTGTGTATTTCTCCCCCTGAAACCAAGATATATTCAAAATAATGTTGTAGGCAGTCACTACCAAGGAATCAGAATATCCACATCTAAAACTTATTTGCAATAAAGAAGAGAGAGGGTTAACACATAAAATTATATCAGGCCAAGGCGAACATGGTGGAAGAGCCCAAAGAATGTGAAAGTCTTGGGCTTAACTTCTAGCTTCTGGGCAAGTTTTAAATTTTTCTCTTGTACCCATTTTTTTTGTATTCAAAATAAGGGTTAATAATGCCTTCATCATAGTGTCATGTGGGAATAATTTTTGTTTGTTTTTTTAACATATGTGAAAGCTTCTAGCACAATGCATAGCAGAAAGGTGTCAATTTATCATAATTATTATGAAGAAATCCCTGATTGGAAAGGACAGCTCACCTCACTGACACTGAAAATTCCTGGAAGCTACAAGTTAATACATTAATCATTAAAACAAGATGGGAAATGCTCAGTGATTTCACTCTCCGTGAACTTTAACATGAGGCATTCTTAGTTACTCCTCTCCAAAGACCAAACTATTGGCAATTACAACTTTCATAAAATCTCAACTAAACACTCTTAAAAACTTGCAAATATGTTGGCAAAACACACTGTGTTTGGGTTTCTTGTTATTCTCTTCAAAGATCATCAAGATCATCCTGTTCTTCCCTTCTCCCCATCTGTTATAATTTCTATGACAAGAAGTTTCAACATGAGGAATACTGAAAGCCAAATCAAATATTTTCAGTATTTGAAACAGCTTTGCTTAAAAGTTGATGAGGGAGGAGATGGTTGAGTATTTGCTGAAGAGATTCTAAGTTTCTCTGCTGGAGTATAATATGGTCATCTTCCACTCTCAATTCACTCCATCTTGAGGTTACTTTCTTTTATTCCTTGAAGAGTTCAATATCTGGCTCTCTCAAGTGTGGTCATTCTCTCTACAACTACCATTGTCATGCTTGTTGATTTTAGCACTCATTCTAAGTAGTCATCCCAATGCCTAGCCCTGTTGGGGTGGGATCTAATCCTCTTGCCTTCCATCCTGCCTCAGCCAGTCACACCCATGGAATCAGCCTGCTAGGACGACCATAACTACTACTGCAGAGTAGGTGTCTTAAACAACAGAAAGTAATTTCTCACCATAATGGAAGCTATAAATCCAAGATCAGGGTGTAAGCAGGTTTGGTTTCTCTAGACTTCTCTTCTTGGCCTGCTGATGACCACCTTCTTTTTGTGTCTTTCTATATGGTCTTTTCTCTGCACATAAGCATCCCTGGTAGCTCCCTGTATGTTCACATTTGTTTTTGTGGGGGTTTTTTTATTGCTTTTAGAGAGAAGAAGGATGGAGAGAGAAACAAACATCAGTTGGTTGCCTCCTGTATTTGCCCCAGCTGGGGACCAAACCTGCAACCCAGGTATGTGCCCTGACCAGTAATCAAAACCACGACCTTTTGGTGTATGGGATGATACACCAACTGAGCCACGCAGTCAGGGCTCAAATTTGTTCTTATAGAAACACAGTCAGGTTTGATTAGGTCCCACCCTAACAGCCTCGTTTTAACTTAATCACTCCTTTAAAGGCTCTGTCTCCAAATATAGTCACATTCTGAGGTTATGGGAATTAGGGTTTCAACGTGTGAATTTTAAGAACACAATTCAGCTTCTAACACACCTTTAGACTTGATGGTCACCAATTCATAAATCATCTTAATCTCAGGTTCTAGGATCCCACTTCTTTCTTTTTATTTTTTTAATAGTTCAAGTAAAGTTTTCTGTCCTTTACCCCCATCCCTGCCCACCCCTCAGCCCTCCCCACCTCCCTCCCATTTCCACCCCCCTTAGTTTTTGTCCATGTGTCCTTTATACTTGTTCCTGCAAACCCTCCCACTCTTCCCCTGAAATTCCCTCCCCTCTCCCCTCTGGTCACTGTCATCCTGTTCTTAGTTTCAGTGTCTTTGGTTATATTTTGCTTGTTTGTTTGTTTTGTTGTTTAGGTTCCTGTTAAAAGTGAGATCATATGGTATTTGTCTTTCACCGCCTGGTTTATTTCGCTTACCATAATGCTAAGCTAGGATCCCACTTCTTAATCACTGAGTTTTATCTTTCCAGTTCTTTCTCTCTCTACTACATACAATCTACAAATCCAACCCCTTTTTTACTATTCCTCGGGTTCTCTCATATTCTTACTCAGATTAAGTCCTGCTGTCTGTCATTATAATCACTCTCTTAAATATATTCTTGATTCCTTCATCCCTCGCTCTTTATGATACTTGCCTGGCAAAGTCCCAATCCTGGCTGATTCCAGCCATCTCACTGCTCTGCTCATACCTCTGCTGCTGAGCTTCGCTAGAAAGAGCACTCCACTGCGCTTCCCGGTCTCACTATAAATTCACGACCTCAAGTGGGCCCTCAGTGCCTGCTAGCCATCCTGCCACATTTCTTAGGCAACTGTTTCATAACTTTTTTTCTCTCTCTAAATCTCTAAAATCCTCTCCCCATCCTCTGTCTCTGCTGATGAAATTTTGTTCTGTTTTACTGAGCAAGCAGAGTAAGCAGAAGTTCCCACTACCTCCAACCCCATTTGCTCTGTCTTCCCTTCTGTTACTAGGACTGAACTGTCTGTGCTGCTAAGGCCAGCTCCTCCCATCTGTGCACACGCTCCCACCCAGCCCCTCCTCATTTACTCAGGGATACTCACTGTTCCAGCCATTCTCCTCTCTCTGTCTTGGATTGTCAATACCCACCTCCCTGCCCCACACCCCAACGAAAACACTGCTATCAGTATACAAACATGCTGTTTCCCATTAAACTTTCCCCCTTGACTCCCACTTTCCCTCCAACTAATTCCTCTGCTCTCTTTTACAGCAACACTCTCCAAAAACATTACTTCTTTCTGTTTCCAATTTCTCTCTTCCCTTTCTCTTGTGAACCTGCAAGCCTCTCTTGTCTATTTCACCACTACAGCTCCTCTTATTAAGGTCATCAGCATGCTTCACATTGTATATCCAGTAGCCAATTCTCAGTTTTCCCATATTACCTGCTGTATATGCAGTGCTTGACTCAGTTGATCATTTCGTCCTCAACTAGAAACTCGAGTTCCAGGATAAGCTCCTGGTTTTTCTTTCTATTCACAGGCCACTTCTTGGCCCCCTCATTTCTAAAATTCATTTCATTGGACTGCCTAGGATTTAGTCTTTAGACCACTTTTCTCTCTATACTCACACCCATAGTGTTTCATGGCTTTAAATGCCATTTATATGCTGGCAACTCTCATATACTCCTCCTGAAACCGCTTCCCTGAACTTCATATTTGTGTATACAAATACTTACCTGGGGTTGGATTTCTGATATGTTATCTCAAAACTGAGGATGCCTGAAACTGACCATCTCATCCTCCCCTTCCCAAACCTGCTCAACCTGCTCCTTTGCTCATTTCAGTTAAGGATATAACTTCATTTTTCCTTTTGCTCAGGTCCCAAACTACATAGCCATCTTTGACTCCTCTCTTCTTAGACATTCATTCTGACCTGTCACCACATACTTGGCTCTAACTTCAAAATATATACACAATGCAGCCTTTTCTCACCACCTCTGCTACTGCCTTGAGGTCTGATCCCTTATCTTCCGTGGTAAGAGTGGATTGTGGAAATGGCTTCCAAAATCATCTCCCCTCTTTTACACCTACCCTCCATTACCTATTCACAGCACGGCAGCCAGAGTGAGCCTTTTAGCATATCTGGTCATTTTTCTACTCAAAACCAACCTCAGGTATGACTGCACTTCCCCCCACACACACACACTTGGCTCCAGCTGCGGTGGCCTCCCCGCTGTGGCTCGCTTCTACCTCTGGGCACTGGCACACCTGCCCCTCTCTCCGCCTGTGATGCTTTCCTCAGGTTCTCTGCATGGCTCACACCCTCCACTTCCTTCAGATCTTCGCTCTCTTCACCTTCTCAGTAAGGTCTTCCCTAACTACCCTGTTTGAAATAACATCTGTATCCTTCTTCTCTGGCACTCTTGGTTGTCCTTTCCCGATTTATTTTAGCCACATTTATCACTGCCTGGTAAGCTATATGTTTTACTTACTTTTTCATTGTTAGTCTTCTCCGTAGTAGACTGTGAGTTCCCTGAGGGCCAAGATTTTGGACGGTCTTGTTCAGTGATCGCTCCTCGACCCTAAGAACAGTGCCTGGCACATCAGAGGCACTCAGTAAATATTCAACCAAAAATGTATTGCTCTCCCTATCTTTCCAAGGGCTCTAGTAAACATGATTGTAGGTTGCTTCTATGTCCCTGGGGGAAAAGTTTTAATGATGAGACTTCATTGATGCACTTTACTTAAAAATACTGAAGGAAAATTTTCCTTTCATCAGGGAGTGCCAAGAAACCTCTTTGGAACCTGTCAGAGTGTAAGATTGCTAGTTTCTAGGTTTGTTTGGCTTGAATCTAAAAGTGGCTTCCAGTATCTCAATTTTTAAAAAAGTATAAGTATAATACAACTGAGAAGTATTTACACAAAAATATTTTTATTCTCTTGAATTAAAAATATGTATTATATAGTATTAATATTTTTGGAAGACAATAATGAATTAAATATAAATATTTCTGGGATCAAGATTCTAAAAGTTAATGATACAGAACTCATTGGGTCTGAGAGAAATAATGAGAAGACTTTACTTCTCATCTCTCTGCTCTTTTGATCATTATATTCCTATAATTGCTCTTTCAAAAAAATTTAGTTCTTACCCAAGGACATGCCCATTGATTTCAGACAGAAGGGAAGGGAGGGAGGGGAGAGAGAGAAAAGAGAAACATCAGTATGAGAGAGAAATATTGATCAGTTGCCTCCTTTATGCCCTGACCAGGGATCAAACCTGCAGCTTAGGTATGTGCCCTGACCAGTAATCGAACCCACAAGCTTTCAGTGTATGGGATGACGCTTCGAACCGACTGAGCCACAATAGCCAGGGCTATAACTGCTCTTGTTGTTGTTAATAATGACTCCCATTCATTGCCCACTTTTTCTATATCACCTGACACTGCATAATAATCTCATTTAATTACACAGATAATCTCATTTAATTCTCACAGTATCCTTGTGGGGAGGTGCCATGTTTTATTTCCATTTCACAGCTGAGACTTAAGAAAGTTAAGTCAAGCACTGTCTGAGGTTCTGACGTTATCAAAAAGGCTGGCAACGAGGTTGGGCGATCTTTGAATTCTTTACCAGGACTGCCTACATCATCTCTAACATGCTGGTGCTAAGATTTCTTCCCTTAATCCGCTTCTCGTATCGTCATAATTAAAGGAGATCTGTGGCTCTTTAAATTTAGGGCAATAATTTAGAAGGAAGAATTCTTAAATCCTTGTTTTAAATTTATTACTTATAAAGTCTAAAAAATTTTTTTACCCAACTTCTTTCATTTCCTTTTCCTAAGAAGCAGGAAAGATATGAATTTATTCCTGCTATTATTTTTCAGAGAGGTAGAGAAAATAGATACAAACTCCTGGAAGGAAAGTTGTACTGTTGTAACAATAAACTCAGCCACTGTGATATCTTGTTTTTCTCAACCACCAGCCTGGCTGTCCCTTTCTTTGTCCTTTTTGTGCCCCCTGCAGTTTAAACAATGCACGGTGAAGAGGGAGTCCACAATGAAGAACACAAAATAAAAGAGAGATATATAAAGGCAGGCTATTTGAGCAAACATACCACATACTCTGCTCTAGAGTAAGTTCTCTTGGTAGATTTTTTTTAACCCCCTTCCACTGTTAGATGGAATTTGCCAGACTCAGTGCCAACCCCAACCCCAACTTCCTTCTTATAACGTGCTCAGGGTTACGTCTGTAGCTCTCTAATCCAGAGGAAAATGACTTATTTTAAAAGTAGTGAAAACACTGCATTCCTTTGGCACAGGATGAAGAGCAGCTCAGCTCTTCAGTCGTAGATCATTGTCCATTGTTCTCCAAACAGTCAACCACTATTTCACACTGAGAGATTGTGGGCTGCAGTTCCGAGTCCGGGGCTCCTCATGAATGTGAAGTAAAGGGCTCTGACCCAGAAAGTGGTAGGTAATTTTTTTCTAAAAGGACAGGTAGGATGAAGAACAGGCTTAATGTAACTTTGCACTCTTGAAATCTCCTGCAGGTTCTGAGCAGGGTAAAATGGGGTCTCGGAAATGTGGAAGCTGCCTAACAGGTCTGCTGATCCCGCTTGCACTCTGGAGTATAATTGTGAATATATTATTGTATTTTCCAAATGGGCAAACCTCCTATGCATCCAGCAATAAACTCACCAACTACGTGTGGTATTTCGAAGGAATCTGTTTCTCAGGTATCATGGTAAGTGTGACTTTAGAGACTTGTGATCACAAGAAGGAGAGTTTTTAACTAAGAGGTTTTTTGTCCTTAATAAAAAAATAATGATAAAATTATTCTACTAATTCTGGGTTTGAGATTTGGAAGATGGGCAGGGGTAGAGAGGCAGGCAGTCCCTCAGGACTTGGAGAGTAGTTTAGTTTTTTGGTAAGCTGCTTGTTTATGTAGCTTTGGCAATGCAGGAAATTAGTCCTAATAAAGCTTGTGAGACTCTTTCTTGCCTGTAGAAATATTATGTTCTCATGAACTCTGTGTCAATTTAAGTTATTTAATCTGCAGTGGCATTGCTGTTTTTCAGAACAGGTTTTCTATCTGCACTCACGATTTCTCTAGCTTTGTATTAAGACAGCATGGGAAAAACAGAGACGGAGGTTCAGACAAATTTGCATTGAAAACTAAGCTCTCATTTGTGCCATGAGACCTTGAGCAAGTGACTCAGCGTCTTTGAGCCTCAGTGTTTTCATTTGGAAAGTTGGAATAATGGCATTTGATTCTCGAAGAATTGTGGGGATTAAATAAAATCTCATGGATGAATCACTCAGTACAGAGACTGGCTTAGTAGGTAGCCAGTGACTATTGTGATTATAAATAGTTATTGAAGGATAGGTCATATCATCATTAAATAGTACAACATTATACCCCTAATAATGGCGGTATTTTTGAAAGTTAAATTGTGCGCAGTAAGAATCCATGAATGTTTTCCTGATGACTTTTCTTTAAAAAATAATAATAAATCAGCAGGCATTGGGCTATGCTCTGAATATGTAAAATCGATCAAGAGCAGGTTTTAAAAAAAGTAAATCTTATTGGCAACTCAGAGGAAAAGACATTTTTCCTGGTCATATCAAGGCAAAAAACAACACATTGTACACTGTAAGCTTACTATGCCACCAATAACTAAAAGAAAAAATAACTATTTCTATATCTTTGTGAGTGGTTTAATTATTATACTTGAATAGTTATATTATAAAGCAGTTTTCATTTATTACTATTTGCATATTAAATTAGTAAACTTTAAAATATTAATGCCCAAAGCTATTGAAGCTGCTCTGTGATAAGTGCATAACAAATTATGGTCATGGGTCCACAAATAAACGCAAACTTTTGGGGAAGATTTTTGAATGATACTTTAAGAGCTATGAAAATGCTCTGCCTTCTGAGTCAGTAATCCTGAATCTGATCATTCATTCTAAGGAAATAATCCAAAATGAGGAAAGAGATGTACACACAGATGTTTGTGGCAGCATTATAATGGTATTATAATGGTAAATAATTAAAAGCATCGTAGCATAAAAGTAGCCAAACAAACCATGTTACATTTACTTTATATGATGATGAGAAATGTAATGATGAAGATCTAATAACATGGAAAATGAACACAATTCTGTAAGTGGGAAAAAAGTTACAACAAAATTATGAATATGTTCTGATTGCAACTATGTAAAATACACACAGGTGGGCAAACGCTGGGATGTATACATAAAAACAAGTGAGGGTGGTGGATTGATGGATACCTTTCCTCCCTTATTTGTGAGTTTCCTGTATTGTAGTTATATTTTACAACAAAAAAAGAAAGCAGTTTCTTTTCCAACATAGGCGATGCCTGTGTTTTTCTTTTGGCACAGCTCTCGAGGGCCTGGGTCTTATTTCTACCAAAATTATAGTGAAGCTGGTTGCTGTGTCTGGTTTACTGTGCCTTATCTCATTGTCTCCCTCGATATGTAATCGTAGTAAATGGATGAGTTGTAAGGCATGATTGGGTTAAAAATCTATTAAAATCAGTGATAACTAATGATTTGAAAGGAGGGGAATATAGGAGTCTTTTCCTCATATACTGTTAAACTTAAAACTGGGGTAAGAAACTCTTCTCTATTTTTAATTGTCTAAGATTTTTGAAAAATATTATTGTTACTGCATCAAATCCTTTTAAGAGAAAGGAGAGAATTATGGATAAATAATTAAACTGATTGATAAATAAATAATGGCTAAAGGAATTTGGAAACTGAAAATGTTGACAACAAACAGTAAAAAAAACAATAAACTTAGCTTCAAGATTTGGTACAGAACAGTGGGAGTGAAGGATAGCTGGAGAATTTGCCAGAAGCAATACATGCTCACTAACTGCCCCATACAGAAATTATAAAAATAAAAAAATTCCAGTCTTTCCAGAACAAAAATATAACCCTTTGCCTAAGGTACAAAAAAAGGGGGGGTGTCAGGGTGGGGGTGTAAAATACATTGACTTCTTCCAGTTTATTGGCTTGAAAGCATGGGGGAATTGACTTACTTTACTTCTGAATCAAGAGCTACAGTTTCAGATTTACCATGCCTCTCACCTCCAATCCCAGACAGCAGTAAATGGAAAGAGACTGGCAAACTACAAAGTCTATGAATGGCTTTCCCTTGTCTTTTACAACTGGGTCAGTGAGAAAGAGGTTTGCTGCCCAGATAATATTCCCACGTCCATACCCTTTAGTCCTCTTCAGTTGTTAGCTTTTGATAACTGATCAATGATAATAATAGCTAACATATATAAATCACTTACTATGGATCAAGCACTATGTTCAAAATTTAATATACATTACTTCATCATACCCTAATAACACCATTTTTTTAGGAAGGACTTTTGAGTTTACGGTTAGAAGTTTGCAGAGCTGGGATTCTTCCCCAGATCTGCCTGACTCGGAAACGATGCTCTGGATCATTGCGTCCTATTTATAAGCATGACTGTAAATTAATCTCTCATTTCTGATATTTTTCTTTTCTCTACTGTAGATGCTTATAGTTGCAGCAGTTCTTCTTGTTCTGGAGAGTAATAACAACTATAAATGTTGCCAGAGTGAAAACTGTGGCAAAAAATACATGGTAAGAGCAATAGTTTTTTTGAAGATGGTTGAGGGGGCTTTGGCTTTCTTTCCTCTTACTTAGAAACATGAAAACATCAACATCATGCTACCTTTATCATGATCTTTTTAGTACAGAGCCCAAGAGTTTACTCCAAAAATAATCTTCCATTTTGTTTACAGTCTTTCCTTCACCTTTGTTCTGCTGCTGTTCTTCCAAAAATTCAGGATTTAAAGGCACATGAAATTAGAAAATAATACTACCTTTTTCTAACTGGGTTTCTGTGAGTAATTTTTCTTCTTCTTAACAACTTTATCCAATAAAAAAGTACAATTCCATTAATTTTGACAGTGCATACACCCATGAAGCCATCAAGATAGAACATTTTTATCACTCCCAAAAGACTAATATTTGATGTACTTTTTGTCCTTATAGATTGATTTATATATTGTGTCAATAGAATTATGCAGTATTTGTCTTTTGTATCTGGCTTCTTTCATTCAGTGTGATTTTTGGATTCATCTATGTTGTTGGTAATAGGCAATGCACATTTCTAAATTAGAACCATAAAAATAATTAAAATAGAATTAAGAGAAAATAACGTATTCAGATTTTCTAAGCCTATGCTGAACGAGCATGAGCTGGGCTGCTACATTTCCATCAGCATTCGTCTCCTCCTCATCATTGTTATTACTCATTCATATTTGCATAGCACTTCACAATTTACATTTGTCCAGTGAATTAGATCGTTCTTGCTCCTATTTTATAAATGAGGTCCCCATAGCTCAGAGACAGCATGTGATTTTTAACTAGGAGGAGCTTTTCCAGAGGTCTGGTAGGGTTCTTTGCAGCAGTGGTTTCACACCTTGGCTGCGCATTGCAATCATGCAGGTGTTTGGAGGTGGAACCCCAGCCCCAGAGTGGTTTCTGAGGTACGACCAGATTTTAATGCATAGCCATGATGCTTTTTATTTAAACTAATGCCTTTCTAAGATTAAATTAGTTGCTCAGTTTAGCACCGTGCCCTTAGTGGAGAATTGAAAAATTAAATACATTAGTGCGTGCGTGCACACACACGCATGTGTGTTTTCTAAACCAACTGACTCAAATGTATATCCCCCAGTAGCTACTGGTGGTATACTTATGGAGAACCTTTCACAATTGCCTAGGTGAAGGAATGGATTCAGGTAAATTTAAGCTATGAAACTCAGGAAATTTCTAGAAAACAAGTGTATGTGCCAATGAAAAATCAATTTGTTCAATCTGCCTTAACTCAGTATTAGCATCTGCAGCACAAATGGATGCTATAAATAGGCTGGAGTCTGAACAGAGTCTTATAATCAACACTGAGTGAGATGACTGCCATCTTAATGGGAAAGCAGGAGGAAGGGCGAGAGGCTTCCCTGGATTTCCAGCTTGGCCCTTCCAAGGTAGTCTCTAGAATAGAAGGCCCAACTCCTAGGTCCCTAGGAGCCAGCTATCTGATGGAAAAGACTGGTTGGTGGGCATTACAGCGAAATTTCCATTTAAGGAGGAAAGAGAGCTACTACTCTAGTCCAGCCAATTCTTAACATGACAAAATTTGGCAATGATTCTGTTTTTAATAAAAAGTAGAAGGATGAATTTTTACCTAAAACCTCTCCACTATAAAATGTTAGCAATAAATTCTTATTTAAATTAAATAAAGCACACCTCACAGGCCAAATCTGAGTCTGTATCAGTTTTTAACTTCTGAAGCTCCAGAATGGAAATTGAAGTCACCCAAGATTCACTTTTTATGGGGCAATGTTGTCCTTGACCTTCTTAAAGGTCCCTGGTTGGGTCTGAAAAATTAAACTGGCATGAGAGAGATGACCAAGAAAAAAGCATACACATTTTATTAAATTTTTACATGTACATGGTATTTCTCATAAGAATAAAGATGTAAAGAAATAGCTGGAGCATCAGGCTTTTATATCACCCGAGGACATTATTTTCTGTTGCTGTTTAGAGAAGGAGAGAGGGAGGAAGAGAGAGAAACATCAATGCAAGAGAAAAGCATCAACTGGTTGCCTTCTATAGATGCCCATGACAGGGATCAAACCACTCATAACCCTTTGGTTATGGGATAACACCATAACCAACAGAGCCACACTGGCCACCCTTTTTAAAAAAATCCTCACATGAGGCTGTTTCCATCAATTTTAGAGAGAGAAAAAGGGAGGGAGGAAGGAGAGAGAGCATAAGAGAGAGAAACATCAACATGAGAAAGAAACATCAATATGAGAGGGAAACCTCACTTGCCTTTCTTATGCACCCCGACAGAGGACTGAACACCTTTTGGTGCATGGGGTTGGCGGGGGCAACCAACTGAGCCACCCACCCAGGGTTATACCTTTTAGATAAAGAAACAAATATGTAAAGAATTGGCAAGGCAGGAGGGCCTGGACTAGTAAATGGTTAAGAAGTATATGGGAAGATAATAAGGTTTATTTCTACAGATTTCTCAGCCCAAAGTTCCTGTCCCTGGTGATATAAATGTCTTCCTTCTGGCACAAAGAGGGTACCTTTCACATGGGAGTTATATGACTTGTTCTAGGAAAGAAAGTTCTAGGGTATAGGGGAGCATTGGTCAGAATGACCTTCCTGCTTCTGCCATTATTTCACACTTCTTTAGCTTAAAATATTCAATTTTCCAAAATGCTGTATTTGGGGTTACTATTTCCTGAATCCCATCTGAAACTTCCCCCAAGAAGTCCACAAACTCAGTAAAATTTCCCATTACCCATTGAAGCAGTATCTCAATCTGGGGCATTTCTATGGAAGAGCAAAAGTTAATGGTTAGACATACTATAAGCTGTTTTTAAGTCCTGAGAGCAGTAAGTTAAGAAGATTTCTATATGTTGGACTCCAAGCATCTTCAGATAGAATAGTGGCAGGCAATAGTAATCTGACAGATTTTCCTGGTTTGTAGTTGAATGTCCCTGGAAAGGTATTCTGGTAAAATAACTGAGTGGCACACACAACAACAAGCATGAATATTGTCTAAAAGTCAGAATGGGGTAAAATTGTGAGCTTTAATTTGTAGAGTTGTATCCAGATTTTGGAGGAAACTACAAAAATTTAGGATCCAGTCTAGTTTACAGGTTGATAACCAAACCCCCAAAACAATGAACAGGGCGAGAATATGATCTCTGCAAGGGGCTGTTTATAGTTTTCTACTAAAACAGTTTTAATAATCACTCCCATTTCTATTAGAGATAATCAAAGACTAATTTCTCTGAAAAACAATTCTAGACATGTTCCCAATTTTATCCCATCCTGACTTTGAATCAGTGTGAACTACAACTGCCTTTTCCTGAAGTCCTACAAGCTAAATTTGGACAACTTGATATAAACTTCAAAGAAATCACCACAATAGTCTCATTAAATTTGACCTTGTTATTTTGTAAGTGCAGCATGAATAGTGATGATTATGTAGGCTCTTTTAAAGTTTGTTCACTGAACCTTCTCATAACTCAGATTAGACTTAAAAGTCTCTCAGGGCTAAGAAGCCAGCCAAGGACTTGCCATTTGACTTTACCTGCAATACCTAGAAATTTAGGTTAATTTCTTTCTCCTTGAAGTCTCCAAAATATCCTGAGCTTCCTGGACTTATCAGGAAGTGACCTTCCTTACTCACCTGGTAAGTAAAGCTGCTGGAGACCCTGTGAGAAAGGTACCAGGCTAGTTTTGCCAAGGGTCTTCATTTGGCTCCATAAAGTCAAACTTAGTTTCTTAAAGCTGTCTGAAAATATTTGATTCTAAACATATTCTTAAATAGGTCATTCAGTCAAAGGCTTTGTAATGTATCCAACATTTCCAATTGCATCCCTTATAAGGATAACGGATACTTATTGAACTTTTATAAATAATTATATTGCCATGCAAATAAAAAAAATCACCAAGAGTTTCCTAATTCTGGAGGAATCAAGTTGGGAGAAAAGTAATTGTTTCACCTTTATTCACAAAAGTATACTTTACCAAATTGCTGTGTGTCTTAGATAGCTTAAGAAAAAAATCCAGAAAATAAAATATTAAGAATCTAGCAATGGTTTTTTATAGGTTTTTTGTATTTTTCATTACCATTTATTCCCCTTATACCCTCCTCCTCCCCACAATTACCATTATTGTCCAAGTACATGTGTCCTTTTTCCATTTTGCTCAATCTTTCTAACCCTTAACTTCCCACCCCAAATAGGTGTCATCCTGCTCTCTTACCTATGAATCTGTCTCTACATTGCTTGTTAGTTCAGGTGGTTCATTAGATTCCACATATAAGGGAAACCATATGGTATTTGTCTTCTATGACTGACTTATTTCACTTAGCAAAATGCTCTCCAAGTCTATCCATGCTGTCACAAATGATATAATTTTTATCTTTTTCACAGTTGAGTAATATTTTATTGTATAAAATTCCCATAATTGTTTTATGTACTCATATACTGATGGACACTGGGCTGCTTCCATATTTTGGCTATTGTAATTAATGCTGCAATGAACATAGTGCTGTTTATGCTGTTTCAAATTAGTGTTTTGTTTCTTTGGATATATTACCAGAATTGGGATCGCTGAGTCAAAATACAGTTTCATTTTTAATTTTTTGAAGTATGTCCATACTGCTTTCCTCACTGGTAGAACCAATCTGCATTCCTACCAACAATGCAAAATAGTTCCCCTTTCTCCACATCCTTGCCAGCACTTGTTGTTTATTGATTTATTGATGATAAATCTGAGCAGTGTGAGGTGATATCTCATTGTGGTCTAAATTCGCATTTCTCTGATGATTAGTGACATTGAGCATCTTTTCATTTGTCTATGGCCATCTGTATGTACTCTTTGGAGACATGTCTGTTCATGTCCTTTGCCCATTTTTAATAGGATAACTTGTTTTTATGGTGTTGAGTTTTATAAGTTTTCTTATAAATTTTGGATATTAAACCCTTATCAGATGTATCAGCAAATATGTTCCCTCATTTATGGGTTGTCTGTTTATTTTGTTG